GCGGCGGCGCACCGCTCGAGCTCCCACTTCCCCCACCAGAAGCCAGCTCCTTCTCCAGCTCGGCGATCCGTGCCTCGAGCTTGGCAACGTGGCCCTCGAGCTTGGCCTTGGCGGTTGCATCAAGCGAGCCGACAACCGCATTGTACTCGGCCTCGCTCGGCCAGGACGCAGCGCCCGGGCTAGCGCCGGCGGCGGCCGGACCCGCGCCCGCAGCGCCGACGGCTGCACCCGCGCCCGCACCCACAGCCGCACCAGCAGCTGCACCTGCAGCCACCTTTTTGGCGGCTTCCTCCTCGGCGGCAACCGCCTTGGCCTCGGCGGCCGCAGCCTTGGCCTCGGCGTCGGCGGCGGCCTTCTTGGCCGCCTCGAGCTCAGAGACGACGGCGTTGTGCTTGGCATCAAAGCTGGCAATGGTGGCGTCGCGGGCCTCGACAAGCGACGAGAGCGTCTCGATCCGCTTCTCAAACTCGGCGCGCTCCTTGGCGACGGCACCCTCGACGGCGGCGAGCCTGTCGGTCGCGTCCTTGGCAGACGTCAGAGCCTTCTCGAGCAAGTCGGCCTTCTCCTGAGCAAAGATGAGCTCGCGGACGTCGATGTTAAAGGTGGCGCGGTCGAGGTCGACCCCGTCGCGCTGGAGCACGATCTGCGAAACGAGCTTCTCGACCACGCCCCAGAGCTTGTACTGCTGGTCGACGTCGTCGGGCATGGAGAGAAAGTGCTGGAGGGTGGAGAGGACGAAAAAGTAGGCGTCAGAGTTGGAGGTGGCTCGGAGAATGGTCATGGCCAGCTGTTCCGGGTCGGTCATGTCGATCGACTCCATGTTGTACTGGTACGCCAGGTCCTCGTTGTCGTCGGCCATCTGGCTCTGGAAGACCTTGATCTGGATGTCGAGGTCGTGGTCAAGCTCCTGGCCGCCGGATACCGACGCCTTGATCTCCTCCAGAATCGACTCAAAGCCGAGTCGCACAAACTCGGACCGGAGGTGGACGCGAAAGTCAAGATCCTCGGACATGCCGATGAGGGTGTTGATGAACATCATCGCCGCCACGCGGAAGGTGACCGACGACTCTTGCTTGAACGCGTTGACCAGCTGATAGAACCGCCGCAGCTTGGGATACTTGAGCTCCTGGTACGCCGTCATGGCGTCCAGCGCAAGCTTGTGCCCGTTGTGGGCCGGGAGGACGGTGACGACAGAGAGCAGCTCGAGCACGTTGGTCTTGGTCTCGACCTTGGGCGAGTCGAGCGCCATGGCGATGGTCTGCACCGCGTCTGGGAACGTGAGAATAGCCTCACGGCCCTCTTTGTTGTCCATCAGTGCCCGCAGCGAGCGGATGCACTCCTCCTGGGTCTGGATGTCGCGCGACGACCGCCGCTCGTTGGTCTTGGCCTCCAGCGCCTGCAGGATCCGGACAAGCTCGCCGAGGCCCTCAAGCGCCACAAACTCGGCAACCCACGACGCAGGCTGCGAGGCGAGCGAGACCCGGATGGCAGTGACCATCTCCACCGTCGGCGACGCCTTGAGCTGCGCCACGTACGCCGCCGCAGAGTCTTCGTCGTCAGCAGCAGCGCCCGTCTGAGTCGCCAGCAGCGCCTCCAGCCGGCGGGCAGGCACAAAGCGCTGGCAAAAGTGCCACTTGGCCACAGGCGTGTCCACTGCCGTCAAAATGATCTTCCGCTGGGTCTTGGAGAACGAGAGCTCCTCCATCACGTCGTCAAAGACCCCGTCGACCACCGCTACCGAAGGCAGGGCGGCGTAGACAGGCGCCGGCTTCCGCGGCTCATGCACCGGCACGATATGCCGCCACACTTCTTCCGCAGAGTGCGACGCATACGCCTTGCGCTGCTTCGCCTGCTCTTGCTCCCTCGACGTGTTGTTGACCAGTGGCATGGTTGCACTGGGCGAGAGGAGTGTGAAGAGGAGGAGGGGGGGAGGAGAGAGGGGGGGGAAGGGGTGCGGGGGGTGCAACGACCAGGAACGAACGAATGAAATGAACGAATGAAATGAACGACGAACGACGTGATCGAGCGAAGTGAACGACGAACGACGTGAACGAATGAAATGAACGACGAACGACGTGAACGAATGAAATGAACGACGAACGACGTGAACGAATGAAATGAACGACGAACGACGTGAACGAATGAAATGAACGACGAATGAAATGAACGAATGAAATGAACGACGAATGACGTGAACGAATGAAATGAACAAACGACCTGTACGAACGGAGAGAACGAACGATACGAACAAACAACCGCAAAACGGCCGTACGAAGCGACATAAATCGCGGCATTCAGGTAGATTACTGATGATCATTGGGGAATCGTCATTCGCCAAACGACCATTTCGCATTTTTCTGGCTACGCTCCGAACGATTGTTCAAAACAAGTGTTCGGCGTATGAGTTGGAGAGGTGGGCGACAATGGGTGTTGCGTTGTCCATGCACGGCGATAAAGTCATCAAGATCATGTCAGATAGTCTTGGGAGGATAGTTAAGGTGCACGATCTGTAGCTTGAGGTCTTTGGGTGATCGATGACAACATCCTTCCTTCAAACTGCCGGGTAATGTTTACTATGTCACCGTGTCTGCATCGAGCTGTGATCACTGCCTCTCCCGCCGTGCTGTCCTAGTGCACTCAGCCTCGCCATTCCATCGATGCCTGCTCTCGACCCCCCCCCCCTGCTCTCTCTCCCATCTCTTCCTTGTCATCCATCGATGACCATCGCGCCATCGCCACCGGTGCCATTGCGTCCTTCGCATCGGTGTTCCACCCCTTTCCACGACAGAGAAAGACACACCTCACCGCACCCCACTTGAGACTCTGCCACAGCTTTCTCTCTCATGGAGAGCATCGCAGCGTCTGCAGACGCAACATGGCGGGCTGGCCTTGCCCTCGGTGTCCTCACAGCCATCGTCTCTCTCTGTACGTCCTCCTCGCCTCCGCCACACACACGCTCCCCTTCCTTCCGTCCCCCGACTCACTCCCCCTCTCCCCTCCTCCTCCACAGGCTGGTATCTGGTGTGGCACTACTTTCTGGTCCGCTCTCCGTTTGTGCGTGAGCTGCTCGAGTACGACGATCTGCCGCAGAGCCGCCAGACGCAAGCTGACACAGACAGCGGCAGCGGCACAGGCGCAGGCCCGGGCGAGACCGACAAGATCAAGTCATCGTAAGGGCAAGGTCGGCCTACTTGACTCACTGGTTCGAGCCGCGCGACCACGAGGAGCGCACCGATTGCTGCGAGCGCGGGGCGACCGGCGGAAGGCCGGTGACTGGCTCAGCTGCGGCTGCAGCCGAGCCTGCGGACGAGTGCGGCGGGTGAGCGTGCATCTGCTGCTGCTTGCGGGCGGTGAGCGAGCCGGGTGACATGCCGCGGCGGAGCTTGCGGCGGCCAGCAGCATCTGCAGCGGTGGCGCGGGAGCGGGCGGCCGGGGTGGACGCGCCGAGCGACGAGGCCGAGGCCGACGGCGGGGGGCCGTTGTCTGTGCCGGCAAACGAGGCGCCGTACGGGTGGTGTGAGGCGCCAAAGGAGCGGACAGAACGGTTGTGGGCGCGGAGCTGCTTGATTTCGCGGCGGAGCTCGTTGATCTCCTTGATGAGGGCGACGTTCTCCTGCATGACTCGGGCCGAGTCTGCGCGGTGGAGCTGGGCGTCCTTGTTGAGCTTGCGCTTGAGCGAGGCGACGGAGCGCTCGAGGTACTCGCGCTGGCGGTTGTTCTCGCGCTGAATGTCGACGTCGACGCGGGCCTCCTCGACATGGAGGGTGACGTGCTTCTGGTAGAGCTTCTTGACTCGCTCCTTGAGCTTTTTGGGATCCTGAATGAACTGGACGGTCTCGTGGAGGTCTGTACGGAAGCGCTTGGTCACGGCGTGGGCGTCGGTGAGGCGCGAGCGCATGTGCGAGATCTCCTTCTCGAGCGCCTTGACCTTGAGCTCGAGGTTCTCGACGGTGAGCTTGAGGGTGATGTTGTTCTTGTAGTACTTTTCCAGCTCGGCGTCCATCTGATTGATCTGCTTGATCTGCTCGTTGATCTGGGCGTCGCGCGGCTCGAGCTGCTTGTTGAGCTCCTTGTTCTTGTACTCGAGGACAAACTTGAACTTTTCGAGCTCCTGGTTCTTCTTCTTGAGTTCGTGGATGCGGTTCTCCTTGTCCTTGATGGTGTCGTTGCGCTCGTCGATTTCCTTCTGCAGGTCGTCGATCTGCTTCTTGGCCGACTCGGTCTCGGTCCGGTTGGCGTTGGCCCTGTCCTCGGCCTGCTGCGTCTTGACGTGCTGGTCGTCGATGGCCTTGTTGAGCTGGGTAAACTCCTTGCGCATGACGCCGACAAGGCCCTTGAGCTTGAGGATGCGGTTGTCGCGGTCGTCGATCTGGTCCTTAAAGAACTGAATCCGCTCCTGGATCTCCTGGTCGGCATCCTCCTCGATCTGCCGCCGCGTCTCCATGTACTCGAGCTCGCGCTGCTTCATCTTCTGCTCGAGCTTGGCGAGCGCCTCCTCCTTCTCCTGCATCGCCGCCTGGTGGCGGGCCTGAAGGTCGAGCGAGGCCTCTTGCAGATCCTGCTGCAGCCGCTCCTTCTCCTTTTCAAACAGCTCGGCCTGCCGGTGCATCTGCGCCTCGAGCTGCTCGTACTTGCGGTGCGAGGCGAGCGCAATGTCACCCTGCTCCTTGCGCACCTTTTCGAGCTCGCGCCGAAAGTTCTCCTTGAGGATGTGGATCTGCTCCTCGTAGTGCTGCATCTGCTGGTCCTTCTCCAGCCGCATGGCAAAGGTGATTTCGCGGAGCTCGTCGTTGGTGTGCTGGTACTTGAGGTGCAGCTCCTTCTCCATGTTGTTCCGCTCTTCCTTCATGTTGCGGACGTGGAACTCCCACGTTGTCCGCTCCGTCTTGAGCGTGTGCTGCAGCTGCGCGTACGCATCGTCCTTGGCCTTGAGCATATCCGGCGTGACTAGGACCTCGGTGGCAAAGTCGAGCTGCATCTCCGGCGCTGTACCGGCGAGCCCGCGTCCACCTCCACCGCCGAGCCCGAGGCCGACCACGCCGGTTCCGAGTCCAGACTCGACCGCCGACGACGGGCCCGAGCCGGCGCCTCCGCTGCCCAGCGCCGACCCGAGAGCGCCCGAGTCGTGAACCTCGGCCACAAAGAGTGAGCCGTCGGCGCCGGCCGAGAATAGCCACCGCTCGTCGAATGAGAGCGCCATCCGCGTCACGCCCTCGGCGTGGAACGCTACCTCATGGTACTCGCCCGTCGGCGACGGATACTTGAGCGCCCGCACCGTCCCGTCCTCCGTCCCGACAAACATCATCCGGTTCGATGGCGCAACGAGCACGTTGGTGTAAGTCGTTCCACCAGTGTCGAGCTCGTGGACCTCGCGCCCGTCGACAGTAATCTCCTTCAGCAGCCGGTCCGAGCCCGCCGCGTACACTAGGTTACCGTTTGGTGCTAGCGCCGCAGACGAGTACGAGCAGATTTTGCGGACGTGGACCTCGCCGCGGACCGTCTCGCCTACAAAGTCCCACTTGTAGATAGCTCCGTCCTGCCCAGCCGAGAGGATGTGGCAGTCGTCGGGCGTCCACTGGATCGAACGGACTCGTCCGTCGTGGCCCGAGAGCACCGCAAAGCACTCAAAGGTGTACGTGTTGTACAGGTGAATAAAGTTGTTCTCGCGCGCAGCCGCAAAGTACTGTCCGCCGTGCGAGAACCGCACCTCCTTGCACGACCGGCAGACCGGGAACTCGTGCACCGTCTCCAGCGAGTCGACCAGCACGTTCATCAGCCGCAGCTTGTCCGAAAAGCCGACCAAGAGCATGTGGCCCGACGGGTGGAGAGCCACAGAGTGCGCCTCCTCGTTAAAGTGCGCCGCAACCACCAGCGTCTTGCTCATGTAGTTCCAGATGCGGACAGAACGGTCTGGCGAGCACGTTGCCACCAGTGGCTTGCGCACGCACGTGTCGAGCCCGGTGATAACGCTTGCGTGGAACGAGGCAGAGACAGGCACAAACGCGAGTTCGTCGCGGACAAGATAGGTCGAGAACTCCGGAAGAATGTACAGCTGCGACGCCGTCGTCGTCACCACCAGGTCCGAGTCGGACGGCCCACCGATGACCATGTGGTTCACCGCCTTGTGCGACGGGAGCTCGAGCGAGGCCACGTCGGAGAAGCCGCGCGAAACAAGCTCCGAGCCCGACGACGGCGCTTCGGCCTCGTAGATCACAATCCGCCCACCCTCGGTCCCGATGACAAAGCCCTTCGAGAACGGCACAATCGAGAAAATTGGCACAGCCTCCATCTTGTGGTACGGCGAACACGGGAGAGAGGCCGTGACCAGCTCCGAGTTGACCACCGCCGCAATCTTGCCCAATTCCGTCCCCAGCACAAGCGTCTCGTCGTTGAGCCATGCGTGGCAGAGATACTTGCCGAGCTCGACCTTGGTCGGCCCCGATCCAAGCGAGGGGCCCATGTTGCGGAATGAGCCCTCCTTGTGAAGCTTGAACATCTTGACCAGGTTTGCACCACTCACCACCACCATGTCCGACTTGGTCGGATGGAACGAGGCCATCGTCGCCGTCTCCGACCCGGTCGTCGTCACAGGGACCGACGCCCGCGGCGGCGCAGACGGCTTGTCCAGCTGCCAGTACGAGAGCACAAAGTCCGGCGCACCAGAGAGCGTGATCATTGCCTTTTGCGCTGCGTCAAACGCCACCCATACAAAGCTGTCCGACTCGATGTTGTTGCCCACAAACACCCGCGGTTTCTTGCCCTTGTGCGTGTACGACAAGTCGTACACATACACCACCGGCGGGCTCCCGCGCTCAGCCACGGCAATCAGCCGCTCCGACCGCTTCGGCGAGTCGCCAGTCAGCGGCGCAGCCATAGCCGTAATTCCGCCGCCCTGCGACGACGCCTCACGCACCACAAAAGCCTGCGACGATCCACTCTCACCCGACGGCGACGTCTCGGACCCGCGCTTGTGCAGCACAATGTTCGACCCGACCGGGTACACCACACGCCCGTCGTTGAGAATGCCCACGTTGCCGGCCACATCTCCGCGCAACCCAAACGTGTGCCTGCCCGCCCACCCAGTCGCATTCATCGCATCCAAGTAGTAAATGAGTGCGAGTAAGTGAGTGTGTGTGTGCCTGTGTAGAGGGGAGGGGCGGAAGGGGATGGGTGTGGGGAGGGCGGGGAGGCGAGGAGGCGCCGATGCAACGGCCACAGACACAGCCGCCCCCCCCACCTCACTGTCCTCCACCATACCACCACCCACACCCTCCCACCCTCTCCATGTCGTCCCATAGGGCGCCGGTGACTCCGGTCCGGCCCAAAGTACAGAACAAGGTCCAGGTGTGGACGACCGAGGGCTTCAAGGACTACGTCCCACAGCCGTACCGCAGGCGCAAGGGCTTCGGCACAGCCTCGCCGGCCAACCAGACCTCGCTCAACGTCCTGCTCAACAAGTACATGGATCCTCGGGAGGAGGCTGTAGTGTCTGCCCGCGAGGCTGTGGTGGCCCAGAAGCGTCTGGCTCGCGCCAAGGCCCACGGCGTGCAGACATCGTCTGTGGGCAAGCTCAATCCCATCACGGCTTGCCCCACGCCCGATCCGTACAAGCCCGACTCGCTGAGCCTAGTCCGCGATCCGCCGCGTGCCTCGCGCCTACCGCCGCTCCCACCGGCTGTCCGCTCCCGCGAGCGTGTCCGCTACAATCCGATCCAGCACCGCTACGCCGAGCCTGATGTTGACGAGCACGTCCGCCGGGCCGAGGCCGAGCGACGCCGCCGCTCTCTCGCTCGCAAGACCGCCGCCGAGGGCGTGCCGCGCAACCCTCTCACCATGTACACCGCCGACGGTCGCCCGCTCCCGTCGCTCCCGCCGCGCGGCCGCCGCCAGATCCAGCCTGCCGGCGAGGACTCGTCACGGGTCCTCACTCCGGCTCGCTCACTGCCGCACTCACTCTCGGCCTCTGGCCAGGCCCGCAAGCAGGTTGACGGCTACTCGTCGACATCCTCGCGTGCCGGCTACAACATCCTCAAGTACAACGACCGTCCACCGCGCAATCCGGACGCGTACAGTGGCAACCCCAACGGAATCGAGCCGGTCCACCGAGCGTATGGCGGCAAGGCCAACCGCTCCGGCGTCAAGTTTAACATCCTTGCCTACGGCGACAAGTACCACCGCGCCGTTGCTGACAACAAGAACGGCGTGCTCTCGCCGACCCGGACCGCCGGCGGCCGTGCAAACATCTCTGGCGCAGACTACAACATCCTCAACGGCACCCCGCTCCCGGCCTCGGCCTCGCCGTCGCGGACCCGCCCCCCACCGCCCTCCTCGCCGCTCCCGCGCTCAGCCTCTCGCGCCGCACCGCTCCCGCGCCGCCTCGACTTTCCCACCCCACGCTCAGAGTCGGCACCGCCCGGCCCAGACCCCCGCGGCTCGCTCTCATGGAACCAGTGGGGCTGATCCAGTGAGCGCCGCCACCACATGCCCCGCCCCGGCCGCGTACGACGCCCGCACCGCCGCCAGCGCGCGGTCGAGCGCGCCGCCCACAACTCAGCGGTGCGCCTCCCTCGTCTGCAGCCTCTCGCGCAAGCCGCGCCGCCACCGCCATCGCGCTCTCTGTCCCGCGCACCACCTCGGCGTGGTACCGACACACCTCGAGCATGGCCCCGTGGGCCGTCACATGTCCGTCGTCCGGGTGCTGATCGGGGCATGCCGCGTTGCCGCAGCTGAGCCCGGCGAGCCACGCATCGCACACCGGGTAGTCCGGCTCGATTCGAACTGTAAACGCCGGATGCAGGACTAGGTGTCGCGGATAGAACGACGCCACCCGCCACGCCCGCACCGTCATCAGCACCGACAGCGGCGTCCGTGGATCAACATCAGCATCGCCGTCGTCCCATCCAGCGCCACTGGCCAGTGCCCGCGTCCGCGCCAGCGCCTCACGCGCCTCCTGCGTTCGCTGCTGTGCCGCAACTCGCTGAGATTCGGCCGCGTCCAGCACAGCCTGCGCCCGCCGCACCCGCTTTTCGGCGTCCTTACCGGCCTGCAGCGCGTCGACCAGCTCACGCTGGAGCCGAAAGAGCGTCTCGCTGAGCGAGACTGCCGCGGCGTCGTCGCCGCTCTCTGACGACCCCGCCGTCGAGTACTCGTCAGCTGAGCTACTTGCGCATACATTCGAGTCGGATTCGGACTCCTCGGGATACTCGGAGTCTGAGCTGCAGGTGGACGACGACGTCGCGCTAGTCTCCATCGTGCCCGAGCCTGAGCCGTTGTCAACAGCTTGTGCCGCGGTGGCGGCGGCCCGGCGGCGGAGCAGGGCTTCCTTCCGCTCCAGCAGCATCTTGGTCATAAACTCGCGCTCCATCTCTTCTGCATCGGCAGCTGCACCTGCCGCCTCGGACACAATCAGCTTCCTCCGCTGCCCTGCCGGCGCCAAGCTCTCGTTGTTGACGTCATCACTATCGGTGCGTCGCCGCTTGCGGCTTGTGTCCTCTGCCGGAGCGTTTCCACCGGCCAGGATCGACGCCATCACCCGCTGCTGCTCCTCGCGCACCATCTCTTCACGGGGCGTCTGTGGTGGCGGGAGCGGCATTCTTGGAAGCGGCGGCGGGCCCAGCTGCTGCTGCTGTTGCTGCTGCTGCATGGGCATGGGTGGCCGATGATGGAGCTGCTGCATGGGGTGCTGTTGCATCGGGTGTGGCCGATTTGGGGGTGGGGGCATCGGGTGCCGGGGCATCCGGCCCGGGTGGTGCGGATGCGGCAGCGGATGCGGCGGCGGGTGCGGCGGCAGCGGCGGCTGGCCTGGGTGACGAGATGGAGGCGGATGCGTTCGATGCGGGGGTGGGTGCGGGCGCAGTCCGGGACCACTACGGCCGCCCGGAGCGCGAGTGGGCCACAGCGGCCTCTGCTCGTGCATGGGCGGAGCATGTGACCCAAGACCAGCTCCTCGACTGCCACGGGGCCTGGCAGCCATATCGTGGATCTGCGTGGCCTGTACAGTCTGTGCCGCTTGCACTGCCCGACTGCCGTGGCTATGCAACCCATCGCGGCGACCTCGCGGGGCCATGCCAGCGACAAGGAGAGGCAGCCCAAGCGAGCTTGCCTCTGGGTATGACTGGTGCGGCTCAAGCGACTTGCAGCAGTCGTTCCTCTACCTTGTGTGTGTGTGTGTGTGTGTGTGTGTGTGTGTTGTGGCGACCCGCGTGTCCCTGAGCCCTTTACGGTACGGAATGCAAGTCGTGTGGCGGGGCGAGCTGGGCGTCCTCCGGCAACCCACACACAAATTGACACAAACTCCGACACCACCGGCAAGGACCGCCAGCAAGCCTCCGCCAGGTTGCCACAAACCCTCCCTTTTTCCATCACGTTGTCCAGATCCCGTCCCGTCCCCTTCGTCGCCGTCCCCCCCCCCCTCCCTCCTCCTCCCTCCCCTCCTGATCGTACCTTCCCATCGCTTCCATGTCAACCTGTTCTTGCTGCTGAAAGCGTTTGGCTGCCTGGCTGCAGACAACTTCTCCTCAATCACTCGCCGCCCTCGGCCACACCCGCCTGGACAAGCCCAACCAGACAGCTGTTGACAGCTCGCAGCAGCATGCACAAGCCATGCGAGGGATACCACGTCTCGCTCACGCCGCTCACGCTCGAGGTACAGGTGTATGAGGTCGATGCTGGCAGAGGACGGCAGGTGGCTGCCGGCGAGCCGCAGACCGTCACTCTCTCGCCGCTCGCTACCGTACTCTCGGCCTGCAACGAGATGGCTCTTGCGCTTGACGGGGCGGTAGATGGACAGAACTCGTCGCCGCACTCGCCGTTCCAGGGCTGGGGCCTCTATCGCCTCATTCCGGACACCGACAGGGACAAGGACGCCGACGAGAGCTATGGGCATCTGGACTACGAGGCTACGCTCGCCGCCGCAGGCGTCACCACTCACACCTCGCTCGCCTTCCTCTGCCGACGAGTCGTTGTCCCGGTTCGCATCGGGCCAAACGGCCCTCTGGTCTCGGTCCCCATCGACGAGGCCTGGTCGGTCTATGAGATTGTGGACGAGATCGCCGCCGCCCACGACTCGGTCCTGCACCCAGAGGAGTATTCGTTTTGTAAGGCCGACGGCCACTGGCTTGTTGGCTCGCTCTCACTCCCAGCTCAGCGCGCCTGGTCGTCGCTTCAGACCTGGCCTGATGCCCCGGCTGAGCTCGTCCTCACCCGCAAGCTCTACTTTATCGAGGCCCATGCTGAAGCACTCGCCAACCTCGGCCCCGACGCGCCCGACGCCACGCTCCACCTCCTATACCGCGAAGCGTCGCATCTAGTTACCTCGGGCGCCCTGCCGGTTACCGAGAAGGAGGCTATCCTCCTCGCCGGTCTTGCGCTCCAGATTGCGCACGGCCCGCGCGCCAACGCGCCACCCGATGCGCTCCCCCAAGAGCCCAAAGATCTTGCTTGCTTCCTCCCGCCTGAGCTGGCAGCAGATGTAGGTGCCAAGCTTGCCCGCAAGATTGCCCGCAAGCATGCTACTTTTGCCACTACGCCGAGAGGGCTCGCTCTCTCCAAGTACATCAAGCTTGTGCGGTCGAACCCCAATTACGGCTGGACGTTCTGGCCCATGAAAGAACGGGTCAAGGCTGGCCGCCGCTTCCGGCTTGTTCCGCGCCTGCTGGGCCTCTCAGGCTCGGGCCTTAAGATTCTCAATGCCAAGCGGTCGCGCGAGCTTGTGGTTGCCGCCTGGCTCGTCATCGAGTCGGTGTCAGGCAGCGACGTCGGCCTCGGCCCCTCGGTCGTCTTCAACATCAACAATCCAAGCTACGCCGACGAGCCGCTGGTTATTGTCGTCGAGTCGGATGCTCATGTCCGTGACATCATTGGTTTCTGCAACGACTATGTCCAATTGGCTACCCGGCGCTCGCTCGCGTCCGAGCTCGTCCTCACTTCGTGCGCCTCGCTGGCCTCACTCTCGCAGCCGTCGTGGGACGCGCTTGTCGAGCCAACCTCGCGCCGCGACGCCGACAGCGAGCGCTCCGAGCCAGACCTCGAGGCAAATCATGCACTGCCAACCCACTTTACGCTCAACAGGCTTCGTGGCCTGGACCATGCCGGATCGTCAAGCTCGGTCGCTCGGTCGAGCTCGCTCTCCTCGCTTCCAGCGTACGTTTCAGAGCAGTGGGACTCACTCCTCGTTGCACCGCAAGTCGATGCGTACACCTCGACGACCTCGCTGTTTACCACGGAGTTTACCACTGGATCAGAAGAGGAGGGCGTTCTCGGCCGCGCGCTGCAACTGCAGAACGCGGCGTCGGCCTCGACGTTCTTCACCAGTGGCATGTACTTTCTACCGCTGCTCGACGACGCGCCGCCGACGATGGAAAAGTTGCGGCTCTCGGCCAAGGCTTCACTTGCTGCTGCGCTCAAGCCGTTTTCCGATCTCGCAGCTACTGGGAAGGCGGCTCTTGCGTCGGGTGTCAGCGATGGCGACGAGCCATCCCCCAGCCATGCACTACTGGTCATGGCAGCGTCAGGGGAGCTGGCACGTGATGCGCTGGCTTCTCTTGCCCTTGCTCTGCTGGAGCTGGTCATGGCGGCAGCTGGCGATACGACCAACTTGCTTCTGCCCGAAGCAGCAGCTGCTTCTGCCGAGCTTGCCTTTGATGCGTTGCACGAGCTTGTGGCGCGTCTGGCTGCTTTTGCAGGCGTGGCCCACCTTGTCCGGAGCCAGTTGCCCGATGCTGACGGCGCGTACGCCGAGCTCTGGGTCCCGGCCTCGCAGGCATCAGGTTGGCGAGTCCCGGGAGAGCTGATGCAAGCAACCGAGCTGCTGGAAGCTGCATCGGCCGCAGTATGCAGCGTGGTTGCCGATGCGAGGGCCGTCCTCATTGCCGCCTCCCACGCCCTGCATCACATGGAAGAGCTGGCACCCGAGGCGCCCCCCTCGCGGGCCAACACGGCTGCCGGCGCCGTAGTTGCCGACGCCATCGCCATTCCGGAAGAGCAAACCTCTGCGCTATTGACAAGCGGCAAGCGTGCTGGCAGCGCGATCGCCAGGCTTGCCACTCTTCTTGGCGTTTCTCCGCTGGCCGCCGACCTTGTCGATGAGCTCGATACCCAGGCTCAGGCCTCGAGTGCTGCCGCGTTAGCGCTCACGAATGCGACAGCGCACGACGCGTTTGCGACACTGGCTCGAACTCGGGCGTCATCGCTGCGAGTCGAGCTCAATGCTTTGCCCGACCTCACGCGCATGCTGCAGCGTTCAGTCGGCATTGTGTCTGCGGCCATCAAGCTCGGCCCGGTCCACCATGTTGTAGCCGCCAAGATCAAGGTCGCATCAGCGGTGGTCTCATCAACTGTCCGGTCGCTCCCGCATGAGCTGCCGGTGAATGTCCCACCGCTACGAGAGGCGATCATCTCGTCGCTGTCGGCATACCAAGCTGCAGTGGACGATGTCCGGCCAAAGGTTCAGCCGCTGACCTTAACCGCCCGGGACGCGTGTCTGGCCCTCATCAACGCATCGGCTGCTGTGCTTGCCGAGCTGCCGCGGCTCGACGGCGACGCTGCCGCGCTGCGCAAGGCCTCGCTTGCGGTTGCAGGCGCCTTGGCGAGTGTCGGGCACTGTCTCCGCAACGCCATCACTATCCTGGACTCGAATGGCTCTCATCTCGTGTTGCTGAAGCAGCTCTCGGCGGTCTCACGACTGCTGGTCACCGCCAACGGGCTGGCGTCGCAGCCCGCACCACCAGCTGACCAGATGAGCGAGGTACTTGTTCGTGCAAGTGCGCTGGGCCGCTGGCTGCACCTTGACTGCGACTATGTGCTCGCTACCCACGATCTGAAGGAGACACTGGCGGGTTCACTGGTCACCGCGGCGCGGCTGGTGGTGGCCGAGCAGGCCGAGTCAGACATGCACATGACGCTAGGGCGTGACGTCAGCGAGCTCCGGAGCGATCTTGCGCGGCTGGCGCTAGCGCCAAGGTCGATGCGCGCTGCGGACGCACTGTTCTCCAACGTTTCGCGGTATGTGGCACATGCTTCGGCTGTGGTGGCAGCGGCGGCTGGCGCCCCGACTGCCGAGCTGACTGCGTTCTCGGACTCGCTTGCCAGATTGGCTGTTCTCCAGCAGGCCGCGGTCCAGCACTCGATGGCAGCCATGATCGCCATGTACATCTCGGACATTGATGCTGCTCGCAACCGGGTTTGCGATGCGCTGCCGTCTGATGAAGCACTTGACGAGCCACAGACTGCAGGTGGAGAAGGCAGCCCGACGTCTGGTGATATGCCGGCATTCTCCGACTCTTGCAGTTCGGACGCGTTCTTTGCGTCAGGCTCAGTGGCTGACTTGCTAGAGGCGCTGGCCGAAGCCGAGCCCGGCGTCGATGTACACGACGATGACGAGTTGCTGGGTAGCTCGACGGCTTCGCTGGGGGCCCAGGCCGACGCGCTCGTTGCCGACATCGACTCGCTCCTCGACCAGCTGGGCGTGGAGTCATTGGCTGAGGCCATGGACGATGACAGCGTTGCAATCTCTGGCTCCGGCACGCGGGCAAGCGTGGCAGCGCTGGAGCGTGAGCTGGCGCAGAGCTCGTCGCTGGCCGAGGCCGTGGGGCACTACAACGCCACAGTGTCATCTCTGGAGGCGTCAGGGGCGGCGGTGTACGCTGCGGCGCGGCATGTGGCGTCTCTGCCAAACGCTCGTGCACGGGCGTCGTACGCGGCGCGGGCGGCAATGGACATCCACAGCGCTGTGGTCGACGCGCGCCTGTTGGTGGCAACGGTCATGGCGATGTGGCCCAAGATCTACTCGCAGCAGGCGGTGGCGCGACTCAAGAATGTGACGCTCAGGTTCCTGTCGGCGCTAGGTGCTCTCCTCGCTGTTGTGCGCGACCTTGTGTCTGCGGTGGACGGACACGTAGAGGAGAGGATCGCCGAGTGCAAGGCGGCCATGGCGACGCTCAAGACCGCTCCTCCCGGCCTTGGTATGCTGAGCGTTCTGGCAGACGAGTTGTCGGAAGCGCTAGACGAGCTCCGCAACCCGGGTGTAGCGAGCAGCGACACCAGCGACGATGGCGCTCGTTCGCTCGACGACATTGTGGATGTTGCCGAGCAAGCTGTCGACGCTGCACTGCGTGACGGACCGGGCTCGATTCCGCGAGCCCATGGAGGTGGGGGCGAACAGCTCGGAAAGACAACGGCCGAGCAAGGCTTTTCCGAACTCGAGGCGATTCTTCGCAAGTGTGCCCGGCTGGTCACGGCCACGCTGGACGAGCTCGTCACTCGCCCGGAGACCTCACTCAACGACGTCGAGGCCGGGGCCCAGCTGGTGGCGCAAGTCATGCGGGCGCTCACGACGTGTGTAGTTGGCCTGCGCGGCACGATCCAGCTCGCGCAAGAGGCCCCGGCGCTACGGGCGTCGCTAGCGGCGCTGGTGAGCAAGGTTCGCACCAAGGTCGACGACGCGCGCGCGCACGTGCTTGCCGGTAAGGGTGGATTGCCCGGCGAGAGTGTTCGCGATAATGCTGGGCCCTGGATGGCAGCGTTTGACGAGTTCTTTGCTGCTTTTGACGCTGCAGTGCTGGCGGCGCAGGGCTCGTCAGGCCAGACCGGGCTTGATGTCCAGCGCGCGGTCGAGACTGCAACTGCGGGTGCGGCGCGGTTGGAGATGAGCGAGCTGGGCGAGACGGAGCGCGCGAGCGACAAGAGAGTGGCGAGCGAACTGCGCAGCGTGCTTGACTCCAGCGAGACGATGCAGGCCACGCTGAACGGGATGATGCCATTGGTGAGTTGGCAGGGCGAGGCGTCGGCGCGATCGGGGACATGGCCAGGCCTCGACGGCAAGGTTCCCGAGCTTGCTGTCCAGTCTGCGATTGCGCTAGCGAATTGGGTCGAGGGCACGGTGCGGTGTGTTGAAGTGCTTGGCGGAGTGCCTGCAGGCGTCGCGCCGACGCCGCCGAGCTCACCTGCGGGTGCGCAGGCACCGGCTCCTGCAGTGGTGCCAACTCGGCCCGTGTGGGAGGCGATTAGCAGCGAGTTCAAGGCGGTGATGGTGGCGCTGACGACACTCAAGGAGCTGGCGGACACGCCCGGGGCGGTGGCGCGGAATGTGCGGGCGGGTTACACCCAGCTTGTGCTCGCAGTGCGAGACATCTTGCTGGTGCTGAAGGAGGGCGTGGTGACCGACGTGGCCGAGCCGGGATGGCTGGTGAAGAGTGAAGGCGAGGCCAAGATGCTGCGCAAGGCTGGATCTGCTCTCAAGACTGCAGCGATGAAGGTTGTCAAACATTGTGACACTCAGCTCAAGGCACTGCGACCGACCCAGCCAGTGGCTGGTGTTCTCAAAGCCAAGGCGTTCCGCAAGGCATTCAAGGCGACGGTGAGCAAGCTGCTGGCAGTGAAGACGGCGGCCGAGGAGATCGAGTGCGTGCCTGCCGTTTCACGCGGCCGGCTTGGCGGGCGGGGGCGGGCAGTGCCCGCCTTTACCAGCGTCACGCAGGTCGGCGAGCGGTTGCTGGCCAGCGGCGGGCAGGCATCGTGGGTTCTTGACTTGTCCGGCGACGAAGTGGCCGCGCTGTGCGAGCTGGTGTGCGACGGGCGGGTGCTCGCCCGGTTGGGGCGTGGCGCGGCGCTTGCTGTTGTTGACGCGCTGGCTTCGCTGAAGACACTCGCGGAGCCGGTTGATGCAGTTGTGTCTGTGGCGACTGCGTGCGCCGCTTTGGAGCATGCATGCGACATGGTGGATGCGGTACGCGGGAGCGTGGCCCTGCTGTCACCAACTACGGTGGGTGCGCTGGAGGTGCTGGTGCAGGCGCGGCAGCTGCTGCGTGCGATAGAGGATGCTACCAGCGCGAGCAAGACAAACGCAGGCGCGCAGTTGGACGCGATGATGTCGGCGGCTGCGGACGCGTTTCTTGCGGAGATCGACCGGGTGGACGATGCGCTGGGCGGCTACGCTGAGGTGGTGGCCAGCGGCTCGATGGGCGTGAACTTTGTGGCTGCTCGCGCCGAAGTGTGCGAGGCGCTTGGCAGTGTCGCAGATGTGCTGGGGAGCGGTGTGTGTGCGTCTCGTGCTCAGCTGCGAGCACTCTCGCGCGAACTGTCGACGCTTGTGCGGGACGGGGTTGTGCCGCTCGTCTCGTGCGTGCTCTCGTCGCCGCTGTGCGCGGACAAGGAGTGTGTGAGCAAGGCACAGGCTAAGAGCGGGGAAGCGATTTGTCAAGTGCGCAAAGTGTTTGAAGCAGACGCGCTGGCGCTTCTGGACGCACATGCGTGGCGGTCGTCGCTGATTGCCACGATGGGCAAGTATGTGGGCGACGCAAGCGAGGTGGACAGCTCGGTGGTGCTCCCTGGACTGGGCTACTCGGACTATGTGCGCAAGACCAAGAGCCACGTTGTGGAGAGTGTGCAGGCAGCACAGAGCCTCATTGACGCTGCCAAGTGCGAGCAAGGCCGCCTTGGCGTTGCTGCGCGGACGCTTGTAGAGGCGACCGAGGGTGTTCTCAAGTGCGTGTGCGGCGCTCTGAGCCAGACGCCTGCATCAGCCAGCGATGTGCTGGATGCGGTGCGAAAGGCGAGCAAGACACTGGCGTGGACGGTGGCGAGGCTTGTGGAGACTTGTGTCGACCTGGCGGAGGCGAGCAAGGCGGACAGGGCGAGCGATGCCGGCCGAGCGGCGGTGATCTCGACGTCGCAGCGACTGGTTGACGCCGTGTCCTCACTGATGTGTGAGCTGAAGGCCGGTGCTGTCGACGCGCAGCGGCAGCGCGCGGCGCTGGACGCAAGCGCGGCGCTCGGGTCGCAGCTGAAGCAGACGCGGCTGGTGCTGCAGTCCCGAAGCAGCGGAAGCGCGAGCGCTGGAGCGAGCGAAGCACTTGGTGCCGCGGCGGAGGATGCGCTGATGATATTTCTGGAGGAGGGCGTTGTTGAGACGCTCGGGCGGGCCGAGACTGAGGCCAGTGTGGCAGACGCTCTCGAGAACGCGGCCAAGCAGCTGGCGACCGCCGTGGCGCAGCTGGTGGAGCTGGCGAATGCTGTCGAGACGGATGTCGGGAGTGGGGTGTGCAAGGCTGGCGTCGAGGTTGTGACGGCGTTTTGCGCGGCCGGCGCGGACGCAGCAGCGCATTGCGGGGCGCGGCAGAGCAGCAAGCGCGATGCCAAACTTGTCAGTGCCGTGTCGTCGCGTGTTATGGCGCTTGTGCGGGCGGTGCGGGCGGCGTCAGAGGCGGCGTCGCGGATGAGTAGCGAGGTGACGGCGCTGGCGGCACGCGTGAGCAGCGACGTGGAGGCGCTTGCCGAGCTTGCGGCGCTCGACGATGACGGCGATGAGTGGTGCGATGCAGCGGCGCGCGAGCAGGGCGCGGCGCGGGTCGGCGCGGCACTGCGCGGCTTGCTCGATGCGATCGGGCAGGTGTGGCTGGGCGGGGCGAGCCGATCCAGGGCAAGCGTGCTTGCGGCCGGGCACCATGTGGCGTCGCGAGTGGAGGGTGTGGTGTCGGCGATGCGGGCAAGTGCGGCGGCGCTTGGGCGGGACTGGGTCCTTCTCTCGGGCGAGGTGTGGCAAGCTGCTGAGGAGGCACACGAGGTAGTTGAGCGGCTGCTGGAGTCTGAGGTGGCGGCGAGCGCAGCCGAGACGGCATGGGCTGCGGTTGTGAGCGCGATGATCGTGGCGGCGAGCGCGAGCAGACTCGACGGCCCGGGCGACGCGAGCATGGCGGCAGTGAGTGTGATGGAGGCATGCGCCGAGAACGTGGCCGGCGTTAGTGGCGACAGCGAGATGAGCAATCTGGCCCATGGTGCGGTGGGCGCGGTCGTGATGCTGACCAAGGTGGCGCTGCTGGGTCTTGCCGAGGCCGAGGGCCTGGGCTTTGCCGACGGTGCCACGCGCGAGGAGCTGGCCGGTTGCGTGCGGGGCGTGGCGAGCGCGCTCGAGTCGCTCGCGTTTGTGGCGGTGGCCAGCGGCGAGACCGAGGAGGCCGGGCAGGCGTACAGCGAAGCGGTCAACAGAGTGTCTGCCGCGGTGGTCAAGCTCATTTCGGCCAACAACGAGCTTGTTGCGCGCGGCGGGTCCAGCGTTCGGAGCTCGCGGGTGCAAAAGGGCGTGCGCAAGGCGATGAAGCGGGTCGGCGCAGCGTGCCAAAAGCTTGCGGCAGCGGCACATGCAGCGAGCCAGCATCAACCATAGTTTCGCGACGAGTAAAACGAAGGGGAGCCTGCGCCACGCGCGTACGAGCGGGCCGAGGAGGCGAGTGGTGGTGAGGTGTGCGAAGCGAGGTGGCGGCGGTCCGGCAAGGTAGGCGGGGTCGGGAGCGTGCGATCGGGCGAGGCTGCGAGGTCAAAGGCATGCTGCAGAAGAGAGACAGCATCGCGAAAGAGCTCCGCTGGGCGGGCATGAAGGCCGGACCCATGCATCAGCGCAAGGGCCGGCGACGAGGCGGCAGGCGGGAGTGGCGCCTCGGGATCAGGCAGCAGCGGGCGGGAGGCAGCGGCGTGGCGGCGAGTGAGGGGACGGGCTGGCGGCGGGCGATGATACGAGCGCGCAAAGCGTGTGAGCGGTGAAGTGGCAGCAGAAGTAGACGGCGACGATGCAGCCGAAGCCAGCGAGGGTAGCGGGGCGGCGATGCGATGTGAGCTGTGAGCGAGCGGAGCCAGCTCGTCCCAGACGGCGTCGTCGGGGAGAGCAGCGGCAGCGATGTTGACGTAGGGATCATCGACAGCAACGACCGTGGAAAGGAATGACCGAGTCGAAGGATGCGGCGGGGAAGAGTTGGTGGGGTGTGACGGCGTGTGTCCGTGGTTGTGTTCGTGGTCGTGGTCGTGGTTGTGTTCGTGGTTGTGTTCGTGGTCGTGGTCGTGGTCGTACTCGGAGTACATGTCGGACGAGTGAAGGACCGAGTCGCCGGACTCCCAGCTGCCGCCCGAGTCGTCAGGGTCCATGGGGCAGTGTGTGTGTATGAGAGAGAGAGAGAGAGAGAGAGAGAGAGAGAGAGAGAGAGAGAGTGCGTGTGTATGTATGTGTGGCGGTGGTGGTGTGTGGTGGTGGGGGAGAGAGGTGGTGGTGGAGGTGGAGGTGGTGATGCGGGCACGAGCAACCAGCCTCGGCAGGCACCCCAGCCAAGGCAACGTACGTCTGCAGACACCCGACGTGACGGATTGAGGCATGGAGCACTACGGGATCTCGTTCCGCAAGTTCCTGCGTGTGCGGCGGTACATCAAGGACATGCGGCGTGGGGCTTACATGGGGGTGCAAGAGCATCCGTCCTTGCCTGTGGAGCGTCACTGGGTGGTGGTGGACAAGAGGTAGGTGGACGGGGTGAGGGAGGGGGGGGGAGGGAGGGGAGGGGAGGGGGAGGGGGGGTAGAGGGGAGGGGTAGAGGAAGGGGGAGAAGGGCGACAGGAGAAGGGGTGGGGGAAGGGGGAGAAGGGCGACAGGAGAAGGGGGTAGGAGGGCAGGGGGGTTGGGAGGTGGGCGTACTGCATCATTGTCTGGGGTGGGTGGGGTGGGGGGGGGGGGGGTGGTGTGTGTGTGTGTGGTGGGGGTGGGGG